CGCGGCGGGGAGGGGACGCGGAGAGGCCCGGCCCTCGCTCCGCCCCCGCCCCGCCCCGGGCCCGCCCAGGCCGGCGGCGCCGGGAACGCCACGCCCAGTCTCCGGCCCGGGACCCTGCCTGTCGGGGCTCCCCGCTGTGTGCGCGCGGGGCCGGGACGCTGCCCTTGCGTGGGAGCCCTGCAGCCTCCGAGAGATAGGGCCTTCCCCTGCCCAGGTATGCGCTCGGCCCTGCGTTCCTGTCTCAGATTCGGGGGGTACGAAGGAAAGATGCCCACCAAAAGGCACTGGGCCCCCCCCTCGAAGGACCCCGTGGCCAGAGTTCCTGAGTTCCCCAAGGCCGGATGTGGGAGAGCCAGAGCCGGGCGCGTTTGCTGACTGGCCTGCTGCCTGCCACCCTGGGAGCCCCTGACCACCATCAGGTCCCAAGGCGCTCGGTTGGTTGTACACCAGCCTACCATCACGCCCGGACCCACGTCGGTGGACAGATAAAGCACACATTTGTGCTTTAATGGGTTTGCATGGTGCTTCTCTTAGAACCGCCGGACGAAGCCAGGCTCCGCCTCTTGCGGTCTCCGAGCGCGTGGTCCAAACCTCGCCGGATGTTGATGGCGTCGCCTAGCAACGAGAGATGGCGGAGCCGAAGCACCAGGCTGACGGGTAAGCCCCGCCGGAAGAATAAAGAACCACCAAACGTTTTCCTAGCTTTCTGTACGCGGGTGCCCGCAGCCGGCGCGCCTCCCCCTTCACTTGTGTGTCCCTTCCCACGCTCCTCCCCACTTCCTGGGCCTTTCCTACTCCACCCAAGCCCCACCCTACCCCGTGTCCCCTCTCTCTTTCACCCTCTATCCTTTGTCCTTTCCTAGCCGACCCCCACCCCACCCCCTACTCTTAGCCTCTGTTTCTCCTGGATTACAGACTTGCACGCCCTGCGGTAACCATGGCAACCACCGTGCTTGGTAAACCGGGCTGCAAAACAGGGCATGGATGAACGCTGTCCGGTATTGCAAGAGTGGGGAGAAGGGAGGAGCACTCACTCCGTTGGGATTGGGCCAGGCCCACGGCTCTCCCTTGGAAAATGGATCCCCCTGTCATGGACTCGAGGGACAGACAGGTCCCCAGTTCCGAGTAGGCCCAAAAATGCTGCTGCCCGCTCTCTTTTGTGCAAAACAAAAGCAAGTTTAAATAATTTCATTCGCTTACACACTTCGGAGTTGCTTCACATATCTGAAGGTGAAGTCTCTGTGCACTCCCACGGAAACACGTTCAGATTCCACCACGTGAGAGGTCTAAATGTGAAACGGTAGTTGTGGAATGAGCTCCAGTTTGGAAAGGATTTTAAATGCAAAGATTCTGAGCAAAGGCAGGTGTGCCGCAGACCCGGGGAAGCGCAAGGGAAGGGGACCGACCAGGTGATTTCGTACTCCTGCATTAGTTTGAGTTTTGAAAAGCCAGCTTTGCTTGTGGCTTATGTGTTGCCTGTGGCATGTCTGTGGAAGTATGTGTGTGTGTGTGTTATGTGTGGGGCGTATACATGGTGTGGGGAGTCTGGGGTGAGGGTATGTGCATTTTATGGTGTGGTGGGTGGGGGTATGTGGGGTGGGGTGTGTTGTGTGTGTGTGTGTGTGTGTGTTCTGTGCATGTGCATGCGTGCATGCGTGCGTGGAGAAGCCAGAGGAGGGTGTCAGGCCTCCTACTCTGTTGATCTCCACCTTGAAGCAGGGTCTCTCACCGAGCCTGGAATTGGACTGATGTCCAGCAAGCCTCAGTGACCCTCCTGTCTCAGGCTCTCGTAGTTCTGGAGTTACAGGCACAGGCTGCTATGCCTGGCTTTCCTGTGAGTGCTGGGGGCTCTGGCCCCTTATTAAGCTTTTGAAAAGCTAAAGTATTTTACATGCAAATCCCGGCAGTGCTGAGAAGCCGGCATTTTATCCTCTCCTGTGACTTTCTCTGCCTTGCCCCAGAAACAGAGCAGCTCGGGTGAGTTTTCCAGGGTACTCTCTCATGCTGTTCCTTTAGTGTTAGAACTGTGTTTTACATTCATCCCTGTACGATACTTGTGACCCCTGACAAGCATGACCTGGTGATGGAAGCGTCCTTGCTGGCAGCAGGGTGGAGGAGGCCATGCCGGTGAGCAGCTGGGAGGCAACTTGTACAACGGTGTTCCCTGTCTCTCAAAGCAGGTCACACCTGGAAGGCGAGCAGGCTTCCGAGGAAGAGAAGAAACAGCAGGATGCTGAAGGCCGTCAGGTAACTTCCATCTGGAGGCTTACTCTGGGCTTCTATTTGTTGGGAGACAAACAGACAGGATTGCCAGGGGCCGTGGTGCCATGACCATTTATTCAGTGGCAGACTTATTTCAGGCGTAGAGAAACTTGCTCCCTTCCCGCCGTGTTCTAGTTGCATTGGTAGAACAGTCTGACCTAATGCAGCTGAGAGGAGGAAAGGACTTCCAGGTCATGGTTCACTACTGCGAAGCCAGGACAGGAGCGTGAAGGCGGTCCTGCTTGCTCTTCCCGGGTCCCACCTGTACCCAGAGAGCGCACTCCCAGGCGAGGCCCAGGGCAGGGACTATAGGGGAACCCTGCCTGCCGGCCTGTCCCCAGCTTGTGCTCAGCCAGCTCTCTTATACAGCGGCGGCCACTCTCCTAGGGAATGCTGCTGCCTCTGCTGTGCTGGGCCTATTAATAACCAGTTGATTGTCAATTGGTGATCAAGACAACCCCTCCCCGTGCCAGGACAGCCTCCTGCTCAATCCCTCAGCTGAGACCCCTTCTCAGGTGACTCCCTGTCACAGGCCGTGTCTCCCTGACAGAGATAGCCAAGACACACCTCATTCCAGAGTGCTGGCTATCAGTAATAACACGTGCAGCCCCCAGACTGCCTTGCGCTTTCCCTGGAGGTCGTGCTTGTCACACACGCATGACTGTAGAAACTACAGAGTGGAAGCATGATCTCTTGGGTACAGGGGAGATGTATGGAGATGGGTTCTTCCTGTCGTCCTACCAGCTCTCAAGATTGTATTTTCTTCCCTGGACCTTCTTGCCACCCTGTAACAGGTGTCACCCCCTCTGGAAAACAATGGCCAAGAAATTGAAGAGAGTAGAGAGGCCACCAAGGGTCTAGAAGAGGACACTGAAACTGAAAGCCAGGGCATGTTTGAAGGGGAAGAGGAATCCTTTGGAGAGACTCTCCTGGAAACAGAAATGGAATCCATCAATGAAACTTTCCTGGAAACAGAAGCAGAATCCTTTGGAGAGACTCTCCCGGAAAGAGAAGAGAAATCCATCAGAGAGGACACCCCAGAAATGGACACTGCCCGAAAGGTGCAGCTGGGCGCCGTTGAAGAGGCCCTCCTAGAGATGGACTTGGAATCCGTTGTGGATGCCGCAGAAAAGGAAGATGAGTACTCTGGAAAGTACGTCTTCGAAGGGGAGCCCTATTCTGACGTCTACACCATCCCAGGGAAGGACTACGACATCACTGATCTGGAGAAAGCTGAAGGTGACATCTCCTCTGAGATGGCTGAGTTCTCCGAAAGGATCGCCTCTTCCGAGCTCACCTACTCAGACATCAGCCCCTGGGAAATGACTTCTGAGGAAGCGGCTGCTGCCTATCTGTCTGACCATCACCTCCCCGGATCCCAGCTAGCCTGGGGCAGACACACAAAAGACGGCAGGGTAAGTGCCCTCTCCCTCACCCTTGCCCTGTGGTCCATCGTCCGTGACAGGAACTTACAGACACTGCCCCCAAGTCCTAGTCCGTTCCCGATCTTTGTGAGAAACAGCACTGGAGAGGTCCATCCGGAGGGAAGTCAAGGCAGGGACTGGAGTGGGGAGCCGCGGAGGCCTCGGAGGAGCCCTACTTCTAGCATGCTCCTGTTGGCTTGCTCACGTTGCCTCCTTAAAACCCGGGACCACCTGCCCACGGCTATACAGTAAACAGTTGGCCGAGCCCCCACTTCAATCAGCTGTCCCACAAACTTGCCTACAGGCCAAGATGATAGACACACTTTTCTCAGCCTGACAAATGTTGGGAATTTCTTACAAAGTTCAGGTGACCACCGAGAGAGCTTAGGCCTAAGGTCCAAGTCAGCAGATGCAAGGGCGGGGACATTCTGCAGCCGTCACCCACACGTGTGAGTATAACTGGTCTCTAGTCCCCAGAGCAGGATGGCCATGGGTCACAGGGGAGGGGTCGAGACTCTTGTCATGAACACTGGAAATAGGAGCAATGGAGGGAGAGTGATTGAAACTCTTATTAATCGAAGTTCAGATAGATTGGTCATGACAGCACCTGCTTGTCATCTGCACCCAGAAGGAAGGCTGAGACAGAAGGATCCTGAATCCCAAGGCAGCCTGGGTCTTTAAAAGAGACCTTTTTTCAAACAAAAACAAACCAACAGTTCAAACCAGTTTACAGTTAAATGGTCATCTGTTGTTAGTGGCTAACATACTGAGATTGTGTTTGTTTGTTTGTGGGATTTAATCCTACGGCCTCAAACCTGCTAGGCCATCACCAAAACTTAAAGCCATCACAAACTTACAGGGAGAAAAAAAAAGAAGTACAATAAAAAGCATATTTTATTTTCTTAGGTGCCAGAGGTAAGTTCCGAATCACCTCCAGGTGCTTTTGGTTCTCACAAAGCACTGAGTGACCCTTTCCTGGGGAGACACCAACAAATGTCTCCTCGCCCTAGTCAGGGAGCCAAGGGCAGGCTGAAGTGAGGATTCCAGTCCGTGTGGGAGAAACAGTGAGTTAACTGGGGTCACTCACAGGAGCGGGGCTGAGTGGAAGGCAGCTGTTTTCCCAAAAAGCCCAGCTTAGCATTCCCGGGCGCCCTGCAGGCCAGGTAGGCCCTTCCCACATTCGGCTCTCCACAGCTCGTACTCTCACCCTCACTGTCACCGCCATGGTCACCACCCTGCCGCAGACACCACCTTCGGGACAGCCCCTCCCACCGGACAAGTGTCGCAGGAGGACGGTTTCAGCTCTGAGGACACTGCTCCGCCCCACTACCCCGCCGGGGTAGTCCTCACCGGGCCTGCCTGGAGTGAGAACCACAGAGCCTGGACCCCAGAACAAGGCAGAGTGGCGTGGTCAGCATAGTTAGCCCTCGCCGCAAAGCCCCTCTTTACCCTTTGGCACCTGGTGGCATCCCATGGGGAGGCATCGCCATTGTTCAGACTCTACGCTGGAACGGTAGGAATGGTAGGAACGGTTAGGGTGAAGGTCATAACATAGTTGTCACTCACCTACAGCGTCGCACTCTGCCCGGCGAGGTGGCTTAGCCCCGAGGTAATTTCTCGGCTTTGCTGTTCTGAGACAGGGTCTCTATGCTGTCCTGGAACTCGGTGTATAAGCCGGGCTGGTGTTTGCTTGCTTGGTTGGTTTTTAAGCTTCTGTTTTATTCTGTGTGTGTGTGTGTGTGTGTGTGTGTGTGTGTGTGTGTGTGTGTACGATGGTGCATGTGAATGAGTGGTGTGTGTGGAGGGTGTATGAGTGTGTATGTGAGTGTGTGTGTGTGATATGTGTGTTTATGTGACAGCATGTGTGTGGTGTGTGTGTTTGTGTGTGTGTGGTCTGTGTGAGTGTTTATGTGTGTATATGGTGCGTGTATTTATGGGACGACGTGTGTGGTGTGTCTGTGTGTGGTCTGTGTGAGTGTGTGTGAGTGTGTGTGGTGTGTGTGTGTGTGACAGTGCCTGCATGTGTGTGTGGTGTGTGTGTGTGTGTGACAGTCTATGTGTGAGTGTGTGTTGGTTTTTAAAAAGTCACTCTGATGCCTTACTGTTCTTAAGCTTCCTTACTCTTTAGTGTGCCCTGTTCATCGAGTCTGGCCTTTTTTCCAAGGTGACCGTCCTGTGAGAACGAGAGTGGTCAACCCCATCTCCTGTCCTCCTGACCCTGCCCCCGCCATGGCTGTGCAGGAGCGTGAGAGCTTCGTCCTCTGCCCTCCCTGACACTCTGAGGGATGTTCCCTGGGGTCTGGGCGGGAGCTTCTATCAGTGTGGGGGTCCTTCATCCCTCGTCTGTCAGTGAGATGGCTGATTGATCGATTGATCGATTGATGGATTGATTTTCCTAGAGACAGGGTTTCTCTGTGTAGCTCTGCCTCCTCCCAAGTGTTGGGATCACCAGCGTGCACCACCATGCCTGACTGGCTTTTTGTTTTGTTTACCATGAAACAAGTCACTTTGGCTTTTCTTGTCTTTTCTGTGTCTGCTGAGATGATTGTATGGGGTTTGTGTGTGTGTGTTTCTAGTTTGTTGATAATACTGATGAGTCCTGTGTGTGTGTGTGTGCGCGCGTGCGTGTGTGCGTGCGTGCACACACGCACATGGCAGCCAAAGTCTTCCATTATACTTCTTCACCTGTTATTGATTGATTGGTTCATTGATTGAGACAGGGTCTCACTCAAAATCATTCATCTTATTTTTAATTTCCATGTATTTGTTTTCTGTGGGTGGTGGTTTGTCTGTCCTGCTTCCTGTCTGACGCCCCTGGGCCTGAAGCTAAAGACAGCTGTGAGCTGCTGTGTGTGCCAGGTAGCAAACCTGGGGTTATCTGGAGGAGCAGCCAGTGCTTTTTGGTTGTGTTTTGTATTTATTACTTATACAGTGTTCTGTCTGCATGTACACCTACGTGACAGAAGAGGGCACCAGATCCCAGTACAGATGGTTGTGAGCCACCATGTGGGTGCTGGGAACTGAACTCAGGACCTCTGGAAGAGCAACCAGTGCTCTTAGCCCCCTGAGCCATCTCCCCAGCCCTCATCCACTTTATTCTTTGGGACAGGGTCTGTCGCTGCCCGTTGCTGGCCAGCCAGCGCTAGGAGTCAGTGTGCAGAGCAGCCTGGCTCTCACTTGGATGCTGGGGGTGGAGCTCAGGTCCTCATGTGTGTCCTGTCCTCCATGCCCCTGGTGTTCAGATGTGGGGACAACTCTACAGTGTGATGTGAAACCCTCTGGGGCAGTTTTGACGCCTGACCTGATGCCTCGTGGCTCATTTCGGCCTGCGTGGACTATGGTGCCTGTCTTTCCTCACTGGCCTACACTCCATCAACCTTATGTACAGCTTTATGCTCAGATGGCCCTCAACTGGCCAGTGGGAACACGCCTGCTCTGCACCACACACACACACTCACACACACACACACACTCACACACACACACACTCACACACACTCACACATCACACACACACTCACACACACTCACACATCACACACACACACTCACACATC